TGTGTTTCGCCTCCTCCATCACCCAAGCACATGAAAGTGGGTCTGAAATTAGAACTGCAACTGAATGGCATTGTGCCAATGCATGAGAGAAAAGCGTTTCGCAGCTCAACGCGCTAAAAAAACGGCAAGTGCAGGCATTTTCCAAAGAGAAAAAGAAAATCGCTGAGAAATGGAAAATTTAATACGGTTTCCCCTTTGGATTTACTCGAGATTTGTGCATAGTTGTAGATCCAAAAAAAAAGTGCAGAAAGCAACGGCAAGCAACAGGCTGTCAGTTTGACAGGCGTTTGACTACTCCTCCGGCAACTGTATGGTAAAATGCCACTGACAGCTGTCATTTGCACAGGATGAAGGCAAAGCACAAAAAGAAATGCAGAAGAGGCACGAAAAACAAAAAACTGAAAAGTTGACGGCAGAAGGTGCAGCAGTAAGTTGCTAATAGGCTTTCAGACTGTCAACTCTCCAAAAAGGGTTGAATTTAAAACTTGAAGCAAACGTTTTGTGTCTCGTGAGTAATTTACTAACCAAATTGCAGTGCAAATTAACGTTGTCATCGATGTGATTATCACAGTTATTGTAGATGACGCAATGCTGGCCAACATGCCTGACAAATTGTCAATGGCTCAATGCTAATTAGGAGCGATTGAAAAATCAAATTGCCCGCTCTCTGTCCGTCTATCTGTCTGTCTACGGCGACGCCTACGGAATTCAGTGCACGCCTCACCGATTTTCTTATGGCTCTCTTGCGTCTTGTGTCCTGTTGGCCACTTGAGTTGTGCTTTCTGCTCTATTGGCTGTCATTTGTGGCACGCACCATTGCATTCGAGTGGCGACCGCAATCCAGGGCAGGACACTCGGATTGTCATTTGACAGCTGAACTGGCAAACAAATAAACTGTCGTCGCATGTCTCGTTACATAATTAGGTTTGAAAATTTGCCCAATTGTTGAATTTTAGCTGTGCAGTGCAATTATATGCATCAATGGCCATTGTTGGTCACTGTTCGTTAACTTATTTGATTATTGGCTAATTTCACTGCGATTTGGCCAAACAGACTTACTCAGCTGTGATTTCAGTGGTTGGAATACAATGAACAGATACACCAAACGACTGGGAATCTTATTAATATACGTATACTTCACTCGCTTAGTTCCTCTACGAATGCTCATAATTGTGCTGGACAGTGTTGTAAATACTTTTGGCTTATCTGTGCATCTGAGCAAATTCAATTTGAAGTATGTCTCATGAAATATGGCTAAATAAGCAAAGTTATTTAACATTTAACAATATTGCTGTAAGCCAACCACAGAGTTTGCCCGAGCACAAAAGGCATCTTATCGGGGGAATACAGCAGACTAAAGTCATTTGATGAAGTGCCTGGCATATTGACAGATATAGCCGAGCTTACCAAACTATGCAAATAAGCGCACATGGACACAGGATATGATGCAAAAGTGCTTAAATCTACATACATAACAAAATATATATATGTGTTGAAACCCGGCCACCCAACTGCCTTGTCGGTTCTCTCTGCATTTATCTTGGCTTATTAAATTGAAAATATTGCTTGGAATATTTTGCATGCAAGCATGTCGACGTCAGCATCATTGTTGGTCCTGCTTTCGTCCTTTTAAATGCAAATTAGCTTTTTGACTTTTTGATGCGCCCATGCCAAAGTCGCAGTCACAGTCACAGTCAAAGCCAAAGCTAAGGCCAAAGTCAACCAGCTCGCTCGCCCAGACTCTATTTAGATTTATGCGGCTTGATAAATTGTGGCTTCACTTAATGTGCGCATACGGTGTGACATGTCCTTTTCATGTCCAAAAAAGTTGCAACCAGCGAACGAAATTGTGCGGCGTCTCCACTTCTATACACACATATCCATATCCATTTCCATTTGAGTTGACATGTCGAGTGGTTTTGTTGGTTTGCCAGTTGCCAGTTGCCAGTTGCCAGTTGCCTTTTTTGCACGCTTGACAAAAGCAGCGCATATTTTCCTGGCTGCTGATTGCTGGTTTCTGTCGCTGCTTGTGGCAAAATCATTTTGGTGAAACGCTGTGGTGCAGCTTTGTAATTAGTTTTGTTAGCCAAACCACTGCGAAAGTTGTGCATTTTCAGCAATGTTATTTTTGATAGTCATTGATAACCTAAAAAAGCAAAAAAATATTGATTGAAATTGGTATTTGATAAAGTAAGTGTTTGTATATTTACTCATGATATCCATTGATAATCTGTAAAAACAAAAAACAAATCAATTTTAATATACAAATATTTGGGTTGACAGAGTGAAAGATTGAATGACCGCCTCCAAATCCCAAAACATGTCCCACACTGCCTATCTACAATCAAATATCAATTACGCCAGCTCGAATCATTTGAATTATAACACTTTCCCATGAAGCGTTTCGCTCTATCAAAAAGCGAAAGGCATTCAGCAGACATTTAACATGCATTTTAAAATACCAACTAGCAACTAGGCAGCCTGTCAGACAGACGCATGGATTTTTCAACAATTTTTTTTAGATTGATGACGTCGCCGTGCGACCAACCAGTGAGTTGTGGCAGGCATAGCCAAAGGAACGACGCTCCCATTCTCCGACCGCCCTCATTGAGTAATACGTCAGTTGAGTTGTCAAAAAAGCAAAAAGAAAAACGTGCTATCAGAGACGGAGACAGAGATAGAGGGAAGAGAGGGAGGGAGAGAGACACGCGTTTCCGCACAAGTTGCTGTCGATCAGAACAATCGGCGGCGGGTGTTGCAAGTTGCTGTACATTTCAACATGTTTCGTCACGCCCTGAAATTATGTTTTTGATGCTCGCATTTCGATTTGAAAATTTTTTAAATAGCGCCTAAGACGCATTTACGTCAATTGTTTTGTGTGCTTCTATTTTAAGGGATTTTTTTGTTGTATTTTGATTAAAAAATAAATAAAAATTTGGGGTAGCATTTAGAGCTGATTTTAAATGCCTGTCAAAACGTGTCATTGTCAAAAGGCATAACAAACAGAAACAGTTGCAGTTGCATTTGAAGTTTGCCAATACTGCTTAAATAATTTTGAATAAATCGGAATATGGGAAAAATAAAAATATTGTCTGAGCGACTAAAATAATACCTAGCACTAACATACATATGGCATAAATCCTTAAGTGCTAATTAAATTTTGAAGCAATTTTTACTTGAGGTACTCTTCTAAAATTTTAATTTAAATATGAGCTTGTTTTAAAAACAAAAATGTTTTTCCGACAAAAGATCATTTTATAGTAAATTGTTTCATTAGACGCTAATATATATTTTAAATAAAATGCTGAATTGTTATTAAGAACTAAAAAGTCTTTCATACAATAAATCATATTAGGGTCGATGGTTCCCTGAAGTGCTGTTATATTATTGAGATATTGTGTTTAGCAGAACTAAAAAGGCCTTCATAGAGGAAATCATCTCAAATGTAATATTTATATAAGATAAGACAAGTTACAAAGTAGCTTAAAATCAGAATAATTAGACTAGAGAATCATTCCATCAAGAATATAATATATAAATAAGAAAAAGTGGTCTAAATGAAAGGTTACAGCCGTTCTCCTCAGTTAGTTATTTAATTCAATATATTATTACTTTAAGTTGACATTAAATAAATATTATGCCATTCGTAGAGCGTATAAAAATAAAAAAGAATAATTCCAATTGGGTTTTTGTGTGGGCTTAGAATTAAACAAGAGCTTACTTTTGAGACGCCCCTCAAAATGAAACTATTACTTCTAATGTGCACTTTGACTCTGAGCCAGTTGTCAAATTGATTTAAAAATTCATAAATCAACTAAAAGTGAAAACCCAAACCAATAAGTCAGTCCAAAATTAAATTAGGACCAGCAACAGCAACAAGATCAACCACAACATGGGCAAACCGAAAAATGTACAAAATGTTAAGCATAGCATAAAATTGTATCGGACAGTTGCCAGAGGAGGGTGAGAGAGGGGAGCAGCAGGAGGAGAGGGGAGATGAAGCTGCCCATCTAGGGCAACAACAAGTCGAGAGTCGTCCCAGAGAAACATGGAAGCATGTTTGCTTTCATAATAATTTCTCAAAATAGTCACCGCAGCTCAGCTTGTTGGCATGTGCGTGTGTATATTTTGATGCAATTATAAATTGTTGGATAACAAATTACATGGCTGTGCTCAGGACGGACGGACTGAGGGACGGAGAGGCAGGCAGACTGACTGACGGACAGATGGACAGACACCCTACTCCTTGAGCACGCACATATGTTGGGCTGCTGGGCTGGCGAGGGCGTCATTGATACAGGTACAGAGATGCACAGCCGGATGATATTCGAGGCCTGGCCTCAGGTGGCACAACTGTACTTGGTGGCAAGTAGGGAATCTAAACGATTTGCGACATGTGGCATGCGGGCATCGTGCAACGGAGAGGGAGAGTTGCGTTTGCAGCGACAATTGTCGTTATTTACCATTAGTTCTTAATAATAAAATATTTTTTGTGTGTCCTCATTTTAATTGAACCACATTGTGTGCTTAGTGTACACTCAGAAAATAAGTGGAAATTAATTTTTTTTTTTACATAATTTCTAAATAAGATGCAAAAAAATTATAAAACCTAGAATTTGTTCTATTTTTTTTTTATCAATATTTTATATTAAGATATATATTTTTAAAATGTAGAATTGCGAACTGAAAATTGTAGAAAAAATTCAGAAACAGGTAATGAAATGGAACTGGCTCGTCTTTATATTATAGTTTAGCTATCATTGTAGCTTTAGAGACTGAGATTCTTTAAATGAAATAACATGCATTTATAAAGTATGTTAAGCATCTGTGTATAAAAATAAGAATTGTTCAATGTACACACAACACACTGGAAATTAGACATATTTTTTCAAAATTATAGAAAAATCTACCCTGGAATATAGAAATGCAAACGCTAGTTTTTAGAAAGCCACAACCATCAATTTTGGAAATTTACTTTCTGAATAATAAGGTGACCAACATTGGCGAAGTACTAAAATGTAGACCGATTTTGTTTCTGAGTGTAGATCTTTTGTCACAAAACACAGGCCACTTTGCATGTTTGTTGCGCATCAATTGAACAATTGCGTAGTCACGGCCATTGTTTTGGCCTGCGGGTTTATTGAACTGGGTACACTTCAATTCAATTCTTAAAGCTAACAGCTCGAAATCGGCACTCGAACTGCGACTCCACATCTGCATTGCCATCTCCAGCCCTTTGGTGGTGGAGGAGCTCTTTGTTGTTTTTAGCCAAATGCGAAAAGGGTTCATAACCGCACTTAGCTTCATTGGCTGCTTCTGGCTTTATCGTGCGGCCCAGACGTAGCATTTTAGTAGCTGTTTAGCATTGGCTACTCCAAATTCAATTCAATTCATGCTACCTCATTTTTGGAGCAGGTTGTGCAAACATTAAAATTAATGAATAACAGTAAAAGTGCTAAGCTGCTGTCGTTGACGTGTTTCTTCCACTGACTTTTGGCCAAAAAGCGACCGTCATTTTTTATCTCTGCCCTGTAAATAGAGAATTACATTCGTTAGCAATTTGGAGCAAAAATATATACGCAATACGTACCCAGGCCACATTATCTTTATCAGACTGCTCCCTTTCGGAAAACTATTTTTGTTTACAATTAAAATTACTATAAAATGTTCTAAGCTGGCGCAAAAATTTTAATGACACGAAGACAAACAGGGAATCAAAGACTATATATTATGCGTGCATACAAACAGCGCTCTCATTACGCTGAGCTCTCGTAAATTAATTTCCACAAAAGGCCCATTAAAATTGAGCCATGATGCCAATTTGGCATGTTGGTATCAACAAATGTGGAAAGCAGAGAAATGCATCTATGCAAATTAATTATAAATTTATGATATCATTTTGGCAAAATGCGATGACGACTCCCCCGACAGAGTTATGAATGGATGGGGCGGGGAATATATGTTATATGACTTAGGCGCTGTCTGCAAGCACCATAAAACTGTGGGGCAGGCAGCAGTTGGGGGCAATATGGCACATGTGTAAAGCCGTAAAATAGCACGGAAGCCGGCGAATTGGAAATTGAAGTCAACGTTTATGGCTCTATCAGTGACGACTTGTCTGCCCGTCTGTCTCTCTGTCCCTCTGTTCGTCTGTCTGTGGCTGTCACGCACATAATTCTCGCTGTGCAGCAACATTAATTGCGCAATTGTTCACAGATATACAAAGCAAAACCAAGCAAGGCAAGGCAAGGCAAGGCAAGGCATCATTTTAACTTTTTAGTGGCCCAACAAATGACGTACGATTTGTTCTGCACGAATAAGCCAAATCATTTGTAGACACAGCAACAACAGCACTTTGTTTTATGACTTGCCACAGCGACAACTACAGCTACAATTCCCGTTAGTTTCCTTCCACCCACTGCTGCTGCACGCATTTTTTAACACTGGGGCGGCGACTCACATCATCCCTGGGCCATCTGTGCGCTGCTGTCCTGCAATCGTTGCAATCGTTACCCACCTGATGCCTGCATGCGGGCTAATTTATGGCCTGCTCAAATTGCGTGTGTTTGTTTGTTTTCCAAGTGGTGCTCAGCTCAGCTTTTGGCCTTGCGTCCTGCTGTCAACATACATATGTATATAATTTTTCATTTATTGCTAAGTGTTTTGTCTCTCACTCACCTCTCTTCTGTTGATATTTCATAATTCTTGTAATGACATATTTTTGTTGCTGACGCTCGACTAGTTTTATTTGTTTTCCTAATGTTGGAAATTGTACGTTGAGAAACATATATATGTATTTTATTTAAGCAAACAAAGGCACACATAAATTCAAATTAATTTCAAATTGAATGCTGCAATTTTAAAGCGCTTCTTTGCCAATATCGATGACGCACGCTGATTGACAGCATCGCAAGTGTTGATACACACTATCGATATAACCGAGTATTTTATCCATTACAAAATATTTATTTTTGTATATAAGCTCGATTAGTTTTATTTGTTTTGTGCGTTGAAATACTTTCATAAATGTGTAGCATTCATGCTGGAAAGGGTTCTTTTGTGTTTTTATTTAAATAGACAAACAACCTTTAGTCCTAACCATGAATTCTATTAGCTTATAATTGGACGTTGCAATTTAAATCGCTTCTCTGCGACTAGTAATTATCGGCGACTCATACTTCTTGGAAGCAGCGCAATTGTCGATCACCTATCGATATCTCCGTGACTAGTATTCATATCGATTACAGCCATCGTATCGTTATTAAAGCACAAAAAATGCATCACTCCAAAAGCAATTAAAATTACGCGACTTGCATATATAATAAACAGTAAACAGTATAAATTAGAATGCGAGCATAAAACATTACGCATTACTTTACGCTTCGTTTGATTTATTGTGTCGATATGCGTGAGAGTGTGAGTGTTGGGAAGGGTGCAATCTGCTACTGCATGTGTGTTATTTTTGACTGCCTACACTTGTCTCTCATTTTATGTGTTTATTTTAATTTTCAATGTTAGCCCGGTCGGCGTTTTATTGCTTTTAATTTTTGCGCTTGTTTTACGAGCGCATTAATATCAAGACAAACCAGCCACGGCGTAGTCCAAAAACAGTAAACTCAATTAGATAAAAGCCGTGGAGAGGGCACACTGTCAGTGCTGTAAAATTCACTTGGCTACACACACGAAAGGCGGGTCGCACCCACGAAGAGACTTACTTTTTTGGAGCGTGTTAATTTGTTTTTAATTCCTGCACTGGGCGGACTCGACTCAGAACAGGCCCAAGACAAGAGAGAAAGTTTTTGAGTCGGCTGGCCATAAATTAACGTTTAGTTACGCAACATAAAAATCTGTTGGAAACAGGCGGAGAGTGCATAAGTGTAAATGACAATGGCAACGTATTGTATACATAACCTTACTTTTTTGTAAGCTAAGTTTTAACTTTACAGTTTTGGAGCCACTAAATCCGTAATCGAGCAGGAGGCAAACATTGTTGGCCTCTGGTTATAAACACAAGCTGATTTACATCATTAGCCCCTTGCAGGCTGTCAGTGGAATCATTAGTTTTATTTAATTATCCCTTTCGATATTGATTGCTTTGTTAAAATATATTAACCCCCTTCCCCCATCTCTCTCTATGGCAATGCCACTTACGGAAAGTTCAATTAAAAGAATCATCCCAAAAATGGTTCCTCCAACTGTGATTCGGGCATCTTCGGGGGTTTACCACAAACCCAACAACAATTTATTTGATAATGAATAATGATGTTGATTTGACACTCTCCACGGCTCAACTTCAAATGGGAATCGTCACGCTTCTAAGCAGCCGATTCCAATTCCTACCCCGACTCCTTCTCCGACTCCGACTTTGACCCACAATTTCTCCCCATGATTTGGTTTTGGTTTGCTGCGTAGGCAGCTCATCTCGCTACTTGGGTAAAATTTTTGTTTTTAATTTAATTAGATTCCGACTGCTCTTTGTTGATGCAGTTGCTATCGAAATTGTACTTGTATGATCTTTTAATGGAGCATGAAATCGAGATTCTAGAACATCGTTTTCCGTACAATTTCACAGCACTGCAAAGTGGCCGCTAATGATGACTCTAATTAGCTTCTTACCAAGGTGCATGTGTGGTCAATGGCTCGCTAATTTGCCGTGACAAAGGTTTATTCATTAAATTCCGAATATTTATCCCTAAAACTCTAAGGGATCTATAGCGTCTATTGTCCGGCATTTAAATCAAACCATGTTTTCAATATAATGCATTTTTAATTGTTCAACAGAAATCACTTGAATTGAAATGCCTCTCTTCTAAATTTTTAAATTAATTTTGTGATAATTTAACAATTTCTGTTAAATATTTTTTTTATTTTTTTTTTTTGGATGTTAAATTTTAACTATTTAGGCTCAATTGCATTTTCCAGCTCTCTCCAGTAATAATATTAATTTTCTAACTCTTATTTTCTATAAGAAAAATAAATATTAAAAGTGTATTATTTTAATATAATATAAGTTCCGTTAATTATTTATTTATCGCATATTTATCCACAAAATATAAATATGCTTTATTGCAAGTTTGAGTAAGCAAAAATTTTTCAATTATTTTCCTTTGTTCGCTGCTTCTTTTCTACTATAAAACCTTAACTAGTGAAACTCTTAATTTTCTGGAAATAATTTTTAAATATAATAATTTTAATATACGTTTACAAGTGCTGTACAGAAATTATATCGAGTTCTGTCTGATCTCACACAAGTCTCCATTTGCCCAATTAAACGATTGAAAAGGTTCCCTTACAATTTTATTTACAGTTACAGATCTGGCAAATCTGAGCTTTAATTTCCATATGACGACAATTATTAATACATCAAAAGATGTTCTCGACTTTATTAAACATAGGTCAATAGAATAAAAAATACTATTGCCACCAAACTTTTCTATGGCTACTTAGTCCGTCCTAAAAATGAGGCTCAATCTCAATTTTTTTCAGAGTTTCCCAAATCCTTGTAATAAATGTTGGACTAATTTACACTTTAATTCACTCACATTTAAATATATATTAAATATTTTACATTTTTCATTTAACTGCATCATTTGAATTTTATGTATTTTAATTTGTAACTCTAATTTAAATTTACTAACACCTTTGTGTACGGTTTTTAGTCCACATAAATAAATAATTTAATTTACAACTCATTTGAAATCTAATTCATTAAAACCTGTTTAAAATAAAAAATACTTGCTAACAAGAGATAATACAAATAAAAGTGTCTTCAGATTACAAATTTTAGCTTCTAGACATATATGGCATTAATAATATTAATGTTACTTGTTGACTCTCTGTCTGTATGTCTGTCTGTCTGGGATGCATCCCAATAAGTATCTATCTCGTTTACTCACACTCGGGGAGCTTGGCTTGTTGGCATAGTCTTAACTGCATTGGCATAATTTATAAACTTGTCTGTTTCGTGTCGACATTCATCAAGTTTTTCGGTTGCTGCCAACAGCTTCATTAAAATTAGCTCATAAAATTTGCAGCAAGCTATTCTCGCTACTTGTGCAAATCTTGTTTAGTTTTCATTTATGGCTCAATGCAAAAGCTGCTCCTGTTCCCGCTCCTGCTCCTGCCACACCAGACGATGTGCAAATGTGCAACCTACACGCATCCCACTTCCGCATCTACATCCGCATCCTGACAGACGCATTTCAGCATAATTTGCTGTGACAGCTCAGCGAGCCAGGACAGCATTTCCTGGCGCTGAGCTTCCTTAATTCCACTTTACCAAATGACATCTAATATGCAAAGTTTTGCAGCCAGGAATGCGGGCAAAGCAGGCGCGTATCTTTTGATGACTTTTGTTGATTTTACACCAGCAAAATACACACACCACACACAGAGACACACACACACCACATACTTAAGATCTATGACTCGACTAGGTCTTTTGCATTTTGCACTCGTGTCTGTCTCGGCTCAAAAACAATGGCCACAACAACAGCAACACAAACAACAACAACAATTTCAAGTGGCGGGCATTTCAAAATTCATGTCGAAATGTCGGCAGAATACCCTTTATTACAAAATAGCTTTGCATGCTTTACGGCTCCAGCACAAGCCTCGTAAACTTTAATGACGCCATTTTCGAGTCGCGCAAAGTTGGCTTTTGAAATATGAATAGACCCAGAGCCAGTCAGCAGTTCTACACTCAGAAAGAAAATTGCAGTGAATTTCAAAAAATGTCCCAACTTTTAGCGTCACCTAATTCAGACATTATATTTATACAACTGAAGATTGTTTTTCCACTGTTATTCTTTTCTTAATCTCAGGTTCCATTTTTCTAAAATTTAAAAACTAATATGTTTAATTAACACGATTTTTTTTTTATTAAATATTAATGTTCCTAAGATTTTACATACACAAATATTTTAGATAGTTTATAAATGAATAAATTTTTTTTTGTATAACAAACACCATTTTTATAAATATATTCTATAGTTAAGAAACCCGAAAATCTTTCTGGAAAATATTTCTAAAAACAAATAAAGCTTTTTAGTTTTCAGGGTGATATTCATTTTACTATCCTTTTTTTTTTTTGAGTGTAGACAAGAAACACGTTTCTAATACTCGCCTTGTTAAGAGGAGATTAGTTCGATGGCGTCGTCGGCTTTTTGGGGGCCGCCAATAAAATTGGTTTATGCGATCTGCAAGTGTTCTATACAACAAGTTTTCTGGCCACTTTTCAATCGCAGTAATTGACATTGTTTGCCGTTGCTCTTGCTGTTGTCCAGGACAACGTATTCCGGGGTTGAGAATCCACACCGACAACCCGAACCCACACCAAGACCCTCTAAGCTAAGCACGCACACAAATTAAGCTCGTAAAATTTAATATTTTGCGCAAAGTTTTTGGGAGGTGAGCATTAGTAATTTATTAGTGGCCTGAGCTTATTGGAGATTATGTTCAGGCCCTTTACTATTTTGGCCGTGCATAATTTGTAAATGTTCTTAAATCTTTTGCAAAAATAAACATAAAATTTTACGGCAGTTAACATTTTATTTTTTCTGTAATAAATGATAAACATAATTTATTTGTGTACATAATAAATAAGAATAAAGTTAAATCAGAATCGACTGAAAATTCACATATTTTGTTGCATAATTTATAGAATAATAATAATAGAAATATAGAAAGGAGCCTTTAATAAATAAGATATTTTTAAATTATTAATATTATATTATGAATAAAATCTATATAATTAGGTTAGGTAATAAGAGAATTAATATTAATAATAATAAAAATAAACAATTTGATATTGGCCAGATAATAATCAAAATCGAATTAGCCAAGCAATGAATTCTAATTATAATATTTTAAGCTCATATTCATGCTTTATTTGGTTGATGTCCAATTGGTGATTGTTTTAATTCAAATTTGAAGACTGTGTGCTTTTGCTGCTACCCAAAAGAGTCAAATTCTCTGCTTTCCCACAACGAACCCCTCCTCGTTTTGTTTACCCACCCTGCCGCCTGCTAAGTGCCAATCAAAATGGGAATTTTGACAAACAAGAAAACTTTCCCAAGGCGAATTGCGTGCGGTCTACCAGCATAAAATTGCTGACGATTTCCCCCGGGTGTTAGGAATGCCTCAGGTAGAGGTGGGTAGAGGGGGGCAGGGCAAAAAGAGTTGAACAATCCATCAAACAAACAAAATGCTGCGCTTTGGATAAAAATGCATCAATAAAGCAATAACATGTCTTCAAATCAAACGATAAGGTTACCAAACAAGCCAACAAGCTTGCCAAAGATATGTTTCTTTTTTCTTTCTCTTCTTTTTTTTGGGAAAGGGTTACAAAAAAGTCACGTACAACACGCACCGTAAAGACTATTAATATTAATGGATAGATTTAACACATTGGGCGTTGCCATTTCAGAAAGCTGTCTTCCTGTCCTGTCTTTCCATTGTGACACCACTCGTTGGCTTCTCCACAAATTGACATGTGACATCATCTGACTGGAAGAGTGCGATGTGATTGATCTAAAAACTGTACCGGTTCTAAGTACACTCAAAAAATAGCCTTAAATTTTAGTACCTTAGCCTTACTTTTGGCGGCATTGGTTAATCATAAGTGTATGGTTACGGGATAACAAAATTTCAGAGTGGATGTTTTCCAAAATTTAAAAAAAAAGTTTCATTGTCAGGGTGTTTTTTTATATGTGTAAACAGAACTCTAGCTTTAGCTTTAGTGTACTTATATTATTAATAAATATTAGTATTTTCAGACATCACATATTACAAACATTTTACATAGTTTGTAAATGCGTTATTTAATTTGAAAAAACTCGGCGTCTGAGACAGATGACAGCTAAATTCCAATACCGAAGCAGAGACAGTAAATTTCACTACTTGCTTCTGAAATTTAGAAATCATTCTTGGAGTGGATGAGATTGGATAATTATAAAGTAGCAGTTACAAATAGTAATTTTCAAGCAGTAATTTTCAAACTTAACAATTTTCAATTCAAAAAGGATAATCTCCTAGTCTATATAAAGGGAATATAATTATTGTACAAATTATTATATTATTAAATTATTGTGATGCAAACGCAAATGTACATTCAAATTCCATTTGGTCGAATAACATTTTACACAGAAATTGCATTTGTATGTCTTCGTTTCAGAGTGCTTGAGAATATGCCTCTTAATCGTTCTGGGTACATTGAAAGCCAATTCACACAGATGACGCGGGAACGAACGCTCCTCGCTGTACGTGTACAGATGCATGAAAAGTTCCGATTTGGTCTTAAATCCCTCTTGGCAGTGCGAACAAATATGCGGACGTAATTTGTTTTTAGCGCAAGCATGTTTCTGCATCCGCGTTTTACTGCTGAAAGTCGCCTTGCACTGGAAGACTGTCGATTCACCGCTATGATTGGGCTTGTGTCGATTTAGGCGGGCTTGTGTGGCGAATGTTGATCGACACTGGTCACACTTGAACTGGCGAAATATTCTGCCCGTGCTGGGATTGGACTCCTCGAGACACTTGCTGGAACGGGTTGGCGCCGGGAAGTAGGTCTTACGCCTCAGCGGACGCAGCCGATATCCATGAGAGTGGACAGTTTTATCACTATGAATTGATAAGTCATCGTCATTGTTATTCAATTCGTCGTTCTTAAAATTTTTGTTTTCAATGATCATTTCAGTGCTGCCGATGTTTCTATTTCTGGGCTTGGGACTTGTATTCCTTGGAATCTGTGGAGTCGGTCTATTTTCCCCTGGTTCCGGTCCCGCTTCCGACTCATCACTAGACTCCGCTTCCTGCTCGACCATTTTGTCGCTTTCCACTGCCAACATGCAGAGCAGCTGATAGCTCTGTTGGAATCGGCGCAGGAATGTAAATGCAATTTGCGCATTCAGCCCGCATGAGATGCAGATCTTCTTAGGCAGATTATCATCGCGTTTGACCTTGAAGTCCACCAGCTCGTTGAGAATGTCTGCCAGACTGTATTGATCGTCGGGCAGTGGCCGATCCAAGAATATGTCCACCAGGCGCACTGAGCTGCTCATGCAAACACGGCAAATTTCCAAATTTACTTTTGAGCTTTGATCACTATTGGAACTGCACATTTCAATGGGAGACACGTGTTCGAGGCACGATACTATCGCATATTAATAGCACTCCCACAAGAAATCTTTTAAATTGTATTTTTTTAATTTATAAGTTTAAATAAGTTTTTAGATTTGGAAGAGAACTATCCAAAAAACGAAAAGTAAACCATAATTTTATTCACTGTTTTTATTGTATGCAGACACGGCGAATTTTCACTTTACTGATGATTGCAGAATACGCTGAGAGTGGTGAGAAGTGCACAACGCCATTTACGCTATCGATACTCATCGATAGTATCGATTAGATCACTAACCCGATATATTAAATATGAATGAATTAAACTTGTCACAAACTCCGCATCATATCTTATGCAAAAATCGGACTCTTCTCACCTCTAAATTATGCCCTTTTTATCATTTGCTGCTTCCCATTCTAGTTGCTTATTCCTCTTTACAATATCCAGGATCAGCTGATCGTGCAGTTATTCAAAGTTGATTGGCAAATCTTTCGCCTTGCATTCGCAGCTGCATTCTGACGATCAACAGGTGGTGTTGTCTATTTTCTCCTGAACAATATTTGGCGCTAACTTTAACAATTCAAATTCAAATTTCAACTGCTTTACTTTTTTTTTTGCGATTCTAATTTCGATGCGATTTCTTTCACTACATAGTTTGGCATCTAGGAATTAAACTTTTGATAAAGAAATGACGCAATAAATGAACATTTATTGATTCGGGCAGTTTTCCTAGGGCAACACAACGTTACCACATCTCATTTTGTGCCGTGTCCACCCACAAATCGGTTGCGACTGCGACACATTTCCGTTTTGACCAAATTGAAGCTCATTGATTGACTTGGCTTGGATTTTATGCTGTCCTGCGACAAGTGAAAATGAATTTAGCCAACAATTCGAAACAATACGCAAAAAAATACACGCACAAGGAAGGCGCTGGAATTGAAAGTCAACGAAAAATGTCTTGCGTTATAAAAACTAATGATTGGCAATTGGATTTTACTGTTATTGCCGCGCCCCATTTGTTTTGCCCAAGCAAAACCATAGTGGGCGTAGAGGCGTGGCACCAAATACAACTTGAAAACAGTCAAGCCGCATTGTCTTCCATTTCGAATAATTTCCAGCCGCGTGCATTTGCAGGAAAATCGTAAAATTTGATTTTTATAACTTCCTTCTGTGTGCTTCTGCATTCTGTGTATATATACATATTAATTTATCTTCGACTCTCTGCTGGATGCTGCGTCTTAATTGTATACGTTTCCGTTAGCGGCATGCTACATTAATTTCTGGCTGATCATACAGCCGAGAGTGCTGAATCAATATGCTGAATCTAAATGTGAAACATTGTTTGTCAGGTAAATGTAAATGTACCAAATGTAAATTCATACACTAATCAAAAAAATTTACCTAAATTTTAATAAATCACCTTATTATTCAGAAAGTACATTTCTAAAATGTTTGGTTCTAAATTTCAGGGTGTATTTTCTTAAATATACAAAAAAATGTGTAAAATTTCACTGAAGTCCTTTGTGCTTGCTTTTAAGAATTCATGTTATTTATATTAATTGTTACTTATATTAATATTAAACATTAGTATTTTTTGTCTTCACATACACAAAAACTTTTTACATAGTTTATAAAAATAATTAAATAAATAAATCTAAATTATATCAAACAGCTGGATTCAGGGTATATAGTCATCGAGCTCACTCTAGAAATGCTTTTCTTAATACTAGAAAAAGTTTCTACAAAAATGAATGTCGCCATATTTTTAGGATTGTCGATTTAGATTAGAATTGATGACAAGCCTTTATAAAATTTACAAATTCGTTTCATAATATTTAAAAATTAATTCCAACAAAATTTAGAAACTACCTTTTTTTTTGAAGAATTAACAACATTTTTTTCTGAGTGTAGGGAGTTCAAAACACGGAATTGTTTTTCGCAAGGCATAAATGCCACTAACCCCGGGCGGCGAATACAATTGCAACAATAGGGGGCGGCGGGGGTTCAACAATGTTGCAGGCTTTGACAATTTCTAATTTATTGCAATTATGTGACGCACGTCACACTCACTGCTGACCACTGGCCAACAACCGACAACCAACAACCATCGGACTATTGACCAGTAAGCGACACGTGACCAATCTGCTGCTCGGCCCCGGGGCTCTGATTGGAAAACACTAAACAGATAGGCTAGTCACTCGCTCCGCTCCGACAGCTGTCTCACCATTCTATAGAGATTTATTTTACGCTGATAACACGCTTAAGTAAATGCAGCCAACAGCCAGCAGCCAACAACACCCAGCAACTCCCAACAACTCCCAACTCTGAACTCCAACTCGCACAATTTAAATGGCGATTAAATCTGTTGGCATTGATGGATGTGTCCAAGGCGGGTGGCTGGCTGTCTGTCTGTCTGTCTGCGTGTCTGTCCGATTGCCTGGCTGTGTAGCCTGTTCTGTGGTCAGTCTGCAGGATGCGGCGCCGTGTTAACACTTTTGTACAATTGCCAATTTTTCGCCAGCGTTGCTGCTGCTGCATCTGATGAGCTGTCCTGTTTCCTCCCTCTCCCCCTCCTTCTCTGGTGGCTTTGTGGTGTTGTTTTCCGACACTGTGTGTGTGTGTGTGTGTGTGTGTGTGTGTGTGTGTGTGGGTGGTTGCTGCAATGGGCTGGCATGCGGCTACACTTCAATATTCATTTGAACGCATAATTGATATTGACGAACAATGTTGCCGTGTCGATACAATGCTCAAGTGCACTGTGAGATATTTAAAGTAAAATATAATCTTTTTTATTTTATCACTCCTTTTATGATTTAAATAGTCTGCTTCAGTTAAAATAGATTTAAAAAAATGAAATGAAATACAAGTGGACGCAGTGAAAATCATTGGGAAATCTAGTATGTATTTATTATTTATTTTTTTGTCATTCAAATACAAGTATGTTTCTTCACAAAAAAAAAAAAAAATAAAAACATCTGCAACCAGCTACATATTGAAATTTAGTAAATATATATTTATATTCTTTAAATACATTACAGTAATTAATTCATATTTATTTTTACATCACAATATTTTTGCATTGTACATATTTCCTTTTATTATTTTTTGTCATTTCTGCTGTTTTCAATTTTAAATTATATTTGCTTTTATATTTTTTAATACTTTTTTTTTATAATATAATAAACTGTGCTACATAATATGAATCTTATTACATGATTTATTATAATTATTTTGCTTATTCATGAATTCATTTCATTTTTAATTTTAAATAAAATATTCACTTTCATAGTATCTTATAATATTTATGTATTGTACATATTAATTATTTTTTGTTGTCCATTTTTTTCAAATTATTTTCAATTTCAAAATAATTGTTCAATTTAATAATTTGTATATTATTTAAATTGTCTTTTTGTATTTTAATTCAAAAATAAATTGTATATTATCATTGTTGAAAGCATTTTTTTTTTTTAATTTGCGAACTTCCTAAGATTTGATAATAAATAGATTTAAAAAGATATTTTATTGGTTGGCACCTTTTTCACTTCAACAAGTAAATAATTCAATAACACATAAGCAATTTAAGCATACACTGTTAATTACCGCTACGTGTTATAAAAAATGATTCAAGATTTTTATATTCTTCTTTGACTAACAAAGTATTATAAAGTTATATTATCCTATTTAATTATATTCCTAACTAATAGAGTGATGAATAATCGAATGGCTTTTAACTATTTATTTATTTATCTACCAAATTAAAGTTTTTTTAAAAGTGACAAGTTCAAATTTAATTTAATACTAATATTTACATTACATTTTAAATGATACAAAATATTAACTGAATTATTATTTTTAAATTTAAGATGAGAAAAAATTAAGATAAAGGATAAAACAAATCTAAAAGTATTAAAATGTAAAATGCTGTAACATTTATTGCAAACATTTTAAACGTTAGCAGATTAGTAATAAAGAAAGTAAAATGTAACAAGAATTATTTTCTTCGAATAATAGATCCACTACTACTACTACTATTTCGCTCAGTGTAATTATTTCCTCACTCTACGGCAATATCATTCTCGTGCTCGTGGCCAGCCTACTTTGACAGTTAATTTTTATAAATTTCCCTGGTTGTATGTTCTGGACACTACGTGGCATTTTTCGCATGCAACATGTTTGCCATTTTCGTTTGCCTCCAGAGTATCTCGGATTTCATTTTGTTGTGTGGAAGGAGGTCGGGGGAATGTTGCACAGTTGTGCTTCGTCTCTTCTTTTTCTATCTGTCAGTGTCATGTCACGTTCAGCAAAATGCATTCAATATGTCCAATGCATTATTGTTGTCGTTGATGTCGTTGTTCCTGTTGTTGCTGCGTGAAGCTGCAGGAGTGTAAATTTAATTTAGTTAATTGAAACAATTTGTTGCATGCGACAACATCCAAAACAAGAACAGCAAAAACAACTCTCTCCGTGAGTTCATTGAAAAGGCAGCAGTCTCTGCATTTCCCCCCAACCCTCTCTCTCTTTCTCTCTCTCTGTGGAAACATATGCGGTTCACGTTTTAACTGATTTTCGTTTGAGCATTTTCTTTTTACATTCCACATTTTCTATACATATATATGTAGGTATATATAAGAGGATCTCCTCTCCCTTGTACATATGTTCATATGTATGAAATGGCGCCTCGAAACATGTCAATTTGTTGCCGTGGCTGTTGCGTCTGGCAGCACGCAGCGGGGAATCTCGGTTCGACTTGATTGAAATTGCACTCAATACACTTTGTATATTGATATATTAATTTATTTTTAAAAATGCTTTGGTCAATTTACGTGCAAATTGAGACAAAGCCAGCCGCAGCCCAGTCAATTTAATTAACGAATGCCTATCGCTCAGCTTTAAGTTTAACTTTGTGTTCGAGTCCAAGAAATGGGTGTGTGGAGGGTGTGGGGAGGGGGAGTGGTTTCCTTTGTAATGTAAACAATAGATTGCATTCCTCACACG